TACATATAGGCAAGATGACAGGAATGGGTTCCATCATAAGCATGCATAAAATAGTCTAAAAATATCAAAGACAACATACACAATGACCTGAAGGATATGTGTGTTCATTCAAAGAAAGGTTTTCCTATGAATTAATTAGTAGAAAAATCCATTTCTACTGTGCATTGTGTCTCTTCCTATAAAAAGGCAGTGATTTTCCCTACTCACATTCCATTAGGTCGTAAATGTATCTGGTGTCAGGGTTGCCATGGTAACCAGGGTCCTGGGCCTTGTTCACAGACAACTTGGAACCCAGTATGTTTATTGGGTGAGGGGTCTGTGAACGTTTGTTAATCTAATGAATAATTGATTTGTTAAATCAAATGAAAAATGGTGTGTCTGATTGGTCAAGACGCTACAATATAAAAACAAAAACTCGTGGTACTGATGCGCAAAAAAAATGACTTTGGCGTGTATATGATACGCACGTGTTTGCCGTGCATATTATATGAAATTTGTTGGCGTACATATGACGCAGTTTTCGCATACATATGATACGCATCTACTCCACAACCCGAGATGGGCTACTGCACAACCCTAATCCTACCCATTGCGTAGCATATACACGACAAAGTCAGTTTCTGCGTATCAATACCACGAGTTTTTATTTGGCGTACTATTTATATGCACTTCCGTGAGATCGGGTTGTGGATTAGTGATCAAACAAAATAGTAGAATGATTTCTGGGATCATGTGACATTGAAGACTGTAGTAATGTTGAAAAATCAACGTTTGGCATTACAGGAATAAACTGACATTTAAAAAAAAAAAAATATATATATATATAGGCTATATATACACAAAACAACAAACAAACAAAAAAAAAGCACTTAATCACAAAACCAAGGCACTCAAGGAGGAGTAAAAATAAAAAGCCTAAACAAACAAACACTCAAGTACTTATCTGATGTAAATACACACTGTTATTGGTGTTTGTGTTTGATGTAAATATATATTTTGATGTTTTACATAGTTGATTTTTGATATATTGGGTTTGAGCTAAATGTGTTGTGATTTTTTTTATTTATTATGCTGATGATTTGAATTTCCTCTCTTATTTGACCACGTCAGGTGATCGTGTCTGACTAATTGTTTGGAGTATAAAATACTTGAGTATGTTTGTTTTTTTACACCCTGATGAAGGCCTGTTAGCCACAACGTGTTTGTGCGCACCGATACGTTTTTAACATTATAATAGCCATGAGAATTTTTTTATTTTTTACACATCCTTGAGTGCCTTGGTTTTGCATGCTTTTTATGAGTTGAACTATCCATTATTCCAAAGAGCATCAGGATTTGAGAGAGTTTTTTTCACTTCAGCAGCACGTTTTGCATTTTTGGTCTTATTGTCTGACATTTCACAATGTTGTTGTATTTTTTTCCACTTCATTTCCGATTAAATTAATGCAGTCTTGATGTGCATTAAAGACTTTCAAAAACATTCAAATATCTTATACCCCAAACTTTTAAATGGTAATGTACATGTATGCTATTGGAGCAATACATAAATAAATGTATAAAAAAAAATATGTATACATCTTATGTTATAAATATATATTATTTAAATGATTAATAACCATTATTCAATAAGCTTTTTTTTTCTAATAGCAATGGATTTTCGGAGTTCAGAATGCCCTGTCGCCTGTGCTGGTGGTGTCACAGTCTTCAGCCGGTGTGCCCAGGAGGGCCACCAGATGACTGTGTTCTGGGAGCACATGACTTGTGTTGTGGTTGTCTTTTGCCATGTGCTCTCTCCTGTCTATTGTCTGGCCCCTCCCATCTTGTTACCTCGTTATTGTTTTAGTTGCTCCACCTGTGTCTCCCTCGTTAGCCTCCTCGTTTGGTTCCTACTTATTCTCCTCGTGTCTGCCGTCCTGTGCTGATCCGTCATTTCTCATTGTGTGTGTTTCGTGTCTGCATGTGTGCAGCTTTAGCTCTGCCTGTCTGTTTTTCCCCCTCGGGGTGGTTTGAGTTTGTTTTTGTTTCATTTTTTACCAAAATAAAGTACCATTTCTCCAGCGATTGAGTCCTCGCTTCATCTCCCCGCACGCACCGTGACAGGTGGTTTCTATTGGCCTGTATCAGATGGCAGATCACGGTCCGCACTCCCATTGGTCGTTGTCACATTGTGTCGATACTTATTTGCATAAAACTAAGCTGTACTCTGCACAAATTGTTGCATCACAAATGGCCCCGGCTCTGGAAATTGCCAACTTCCACTGAAAATGAATGTTGCTTTGTCATTTCAAACAGCTGTCAGTGTGAACACTAAACTGACTGTCAATCAGTTACAGTTAATAAAGTTGAAATACTTGAGTTTGACCAGAGCATATTTTTGAAAGTTCTATATTTTGCATGAGTAACAACTTAAATTGCACAAGCGTGTACGTTTTCTACAGTGACTTTATGCAAGGTCCACCTTTCAGTGTGATACAAGAGTTTATTTTATGATAATAAGCAGCATCTGGTCATGAATTCTGACTGGCAGATGTTCTGTACAGAAAATATATATTCTAGTGGAAGAATGCAGTTCAACGAATACTTAAGTATTAAAAATAATCTTCTTAATAATTTTAGGATATGCAAGCAGTTTTACAAATGCTGTTAGGCCTGCTGCATGAATTCTGAACTCATTCCACTGAACACAAGTCTTACAAAGGTGTATATTTTATTTTGACAACTGCATAAAATGAATCGCCTGAAAAACCATAATGATAGTGTACGATATCACAATGAAATATTGAGATCACAGACGATTTTCACGTAACATTTGCATATCGTTTATGAAGCTTTTATAACAGGCGGATGGTGTTTAGACGGCTCTCCAAACCTGCAGCACATTTTTAGTCAAGAAATTAAACGGTATGTTATAAAACATACATTAAAAAGACACCTCAAATAAAACTTTGATAGTTCCACATCACAATTAAAAAAAAAACTGCAATAGTAGATAAACAACATTTTAAAGCATAAATTAAAACATGTGACAAAATATCCTTCATCTTAAATAAATCAAATAAAAAAGAAAATTACAGTAAACAATAAATATGTCAGGAATGTATAGTATACAAATGTGCCATCATTTCTTCTAATACTATTTAGTCTGCTCTTGTAAGTCCCTTGAAATCAAACCACAGTCAAATGATGATATACTAATATCATGACTGTGTTACGTTATGAAAACAAGCATATGTTTTACATAAATCCCTGTAATTCAGTGATTTTATGGTGGTTTGATTAGCTCATTATTACAAACACACCCTGAGAACTTTCTTCCCTGACAAAACTGCATCAAGAATGTCAGGGCATTTCAATGGAATGGGGAAAAAAATATATATTATTAATGCCACAATTACAATTAAAACATTCTTCACTTGGGATAAATGCCATAACTTTACATTGCATTTCGAAATAGAGTAAGTTTGTCACTAGAAATAGGGATTATTGATATAATGGCATGACTATATGAGATGAAAATCCATATACATCTGATTGTTGAGTCCTAGAAAGGGTCTATTAAGATCTTATGAAAATAAGTCACTTCTATGGAAGCCCGTTTCCGCCACTGAATAAAGTCACAATTATCTTTTTATTTTTTATCTCACAATATCTCGCTTTTTTCTCTTGCAATTGAGTTTACATTTTGTAATTTCTGACTTCTTTTCTCAGAATTCTGTGATATAAACTGGCAATCGCATGTTATAAAGTCAGAATTGCAAGATATAAACTAAAAAGGCAGAATTGCAAGGAAAACTCAGAATTGTGAGAAAGTCGCAATTACCTTTTGTAGTTTTGTTCAGCGGCGTAAACAGGCTTCCATACATTTCACCCCAAATCAAAGAAAATAAAAATATTCTGTTTATTTTTGTTTAGTAAATGAAGCCTAATTTAACAAAATATTGTATTGCCTTTTAGCATTAACTGCAAAAGAATCTAATTACAGTTACGCCCCATAATTCAAATGATATACAGTGGGTACGGAAAGTATTCAGACCCCCTTAAATTTTTCACTCTTTGTTATATTGCAGCCATTTGCTAAAATCATTTAAGTTAATTTTTTTTCCTCATTAATGTACACACAGCACCCCATATTGACAGAAAAACACAGAATTGTTGACATTTATGCAGATTTATTAAAAAAGAAAATCTGAACTTTCTTTACATTGATTACTCTATTATTAAAACATTTAAAAATAAAATATTTGCATTACAGTAATGCACTGATTTGATTTAAATCAGCATTAATTATGGCAATACAATTTAAATTTATTTTGGCAGTACAGTAATTTGGAGAAAATGTTTAACTTCAATGAAAATTATGACATGCATAAAATCTTAATGGTCCTAAAAATGCAATCAAAAATAAACAAAAATATTTCTTCCTTTTGATTTTAGGGTGATGGCCCAGGCATGCTCTTGACCGTTTTCATGACATGTACCCTTTCGGCCAGGGACTGTGGTTTACATCAGTCTTTGTACAAAAGCAAACGTTCAGAAATACACAGAAATGGTGAGCACTATTAAAACATTCAGAACTCAGAGACTAAATGAAAAGTGCTACAGAGAGGTTGATAAAGCACAGGCGGCGCTGATGAATGGGACCTCACCTGCATCAGTGCTAGCATGAGGCGTGTGTGTCAGGACGGGTCAGGTACCGAACTCTAGCAGTCCACACAGATACTAGGAATGGCTTTAGGGTGCGACCTGAAGCAGGGGTTCAGGCTCTTCTCACCTCGAGGACGCCATTACTCAAGCTTGGCTGCTTGACGGTGTCTTAGATTGTGATGTAATGCTGTCGGAGTTTAGCAACTAAAAACTCATGGGTAAGATTATGTCTGGTGATTATTCCCACGATCTGAGAGAGAGACACAGATGACAAAACACCACTTTATGAAACTGGATGGATGGAGCTTATGCCTCAATCTTCAAACATGAATTTTTAAATCATGAATTGTGTCTCAGTTAAAGGAACACTCCACTATTAGGCTCATTTTCCAACTCCCCTAAGAGTTAAACAGTTGAGTTCTACCGTTTTCGAATCCATTCAGCCGATCTCCGGTTCTGGTGGTAGCACTTTTAGCTTAGCTTAGCATAGATCATTGAATCTGATTAGACCGTTAGCATCTCGCTCAAAAATGACCAAAAAGTTTCGATATTTTTTCGATACTATTTAAAACTTGACTCTTCTGTAGTTACATCGTGTACTAAGACCGATGAAAAATGAAAAGTTGCGATTTTCTAGGCCGATATGCTTAGGAACTATACTCTCATTCTGGCGTAATAATCAAGGAACTTTGCTGCCGTACCATGGGTGCAGCAGGCACAATGATATTACGCCGGAATGAGAGTATAGTTCCTAGCCATATCGGCCTAGAAAATCGCTACTTTTCATTTTTCATCGGTCTTAGTGCACGATGTAACTACAGAAGAGTCAAGTTTTAAACAGGAAAAATATAGAAACTCTTTGGTCATTTTTGAGCATGATGCTAACGGTCTAATCAGATTTAATGATCTATGCTAAGCTAAGCTAAAAGTGCTACCGCCAGAACCGGAGATCGGCTGAATGGATTCGAAAACGGTAAAACTCAACTGTTTAACTCTAGGGGAGTTGGAAAATGAGCCTATTTTCAAAAATAGTGGAATGTTCCTTCAAGAATGTACAATGCTAAAAAAAGAATTGCAATTTTGTAAAATCTAATTTAATATCTTAACATTAAATTGCTTGCATACACAATTCAGGGTTACTTTAGTATCACTGAGATACAATTCAAGTTTTTATTAATATTTTGAATTATTTTATTTTTATATTTTTTCCATTTTATTTCAAGTTTTAGTAATTTTGTTTCATTTTTGTTTTTAATTTAATGTATATCGTTTTTATATATTGTTTTACTTCAGTTTTAGTTTAAATTATTTTAGTACAACAAGATAAAATGAAAATGAGAAATGTTGCCTTGGCTGAAATAACTTTTAATACTTTTATTTTAGGTAAAGTTTATTTTATTTTAAGTAACTTTTTTTTCTTGCACTTTGAAATACAAAAATCTAATCCTTAATTGAAATCAAATCAGATTTCATTGTGAATAAGAATCGGATCATTCTGAATTTGCAAAAATCATTCCCGAATTTAATTGCAAACCTAACTGCTTCGCTGTCTACCCAAAAATTTCACAGCCCTAAGTAAAGAGATGACAGAATTTTTATTTTTGGTTGAACTTTGCCTTAAAAGTATAAATGAAGACACAAAAAAAATTTGAAGACACACAAAGTTGCTTCTATATTTCTTTGTCACTGTGTTTCTAACAACATGCTTAGATGTTTGTGTTTTAGACGTACCTCTCCCACCGCATTGACCACAGGTAAGTGTCGAAGGCCCATGGTCCTGAACAGATTGAATACTTGGGAAACACATGTATTTGGAGAGACTGTATATGGACAGGGGTTCATGTAAGGAGTCACGTCCTGTTTAAGAAAGAAAAAAAAAAGAAAGACAAATGAGTCTAATTATGTCTGAGAGAGACCGCTGAACAAACTGTCATCACTGCAAGGCTCACTTTACAACAAGATCACTTACACACTTACAATTATCACCAATTAACAGCCATTATACACACATCCTAGATAACTGGATATAGAGCACTAGTTTATGTACTGCTGCGAGCCTCACGACATTCCCCTGAAGAGTCTGATAGGTCAGAGGACTTTACCACAATCATGCGTGGATTGAGAAGGGCCAGGTCGAGATCGTGGATGTCAGGGAATCGTGGGTAATCCTCAGTCATCTCTGAATGAGAGAGCCGTGGCTGTGAGGCGCTCTACAGAGGGCAGAGGAGAGAGAGGCAGCTCTCAAATGGCTGGCATGTATTTGGTTGCATCTACAGTTCAAACAGATCAATGTTTCTCACTCTGATTGCAGCTAAACAGACCCTTGTGAAAAAATACTTCACTTTAGCATTCTTTTAAAAAGAGTACTTATAGAAATAATACATGCAAACATGCAGTCTTTTATTAATTCCAAAACGTCACTTTAGAAATAGTAACGAAGGAAAGTTGAGTTGCTTCATTGAAAGCTTATTGTATTAAAAGCTTACTGTAGAGTATTATGAGAGAGATGGACTCAGCGCCTAAAAAAACTCTTAAAACCACATTCCGTGACACAAAAACAGCATTATTTATAAAATGATAGTGGATTTGGGCATCTAGCATGACACTGTCTGTGAGAAATACTGCAAGCGGAGTGATACGAACTGTGAAACGGTCGGAGTTATCACTAGAATATCGCACTGCTGGAAAAGGCTCTCAGCCAATCAGATTCGAGGAGCAGAAAGAACTGTTGTATAAATGAAAATATCATAGTTTAATTTTATTTTACATGCAATTAGATGAACTTTTGATTGCTTTTTTCCCACCCACTTTTAAGTAGGACTTAAGTAAAATAAGTTGACAGCAGAATATACTGACAAGCATTCATGGTAAATAATATTTCTAGTAAAAACCTTTATGTCATGTCATTTTTAAATGTGATTAAGTTGTGATTTAGTACAAAATTAAATATATATTGAATGTAATATCGAATAGCAAAATATTTAAAATTATAATCAAGTACTTTACATGTGCTTTAGTATTCAGTCAACACATCAAGTGTTCTTTAAAGCATTACAAAAATGCAAAAATTAAAATACTTTAACTTAATTTTAATTGGACATTACACATTACAACAAAGTGCACTTGTTAAATAAAAGTGTACTTAAGTGTGTTAAGAAAGTCATGTACACTAAGTATACTGAAGTACCCTTATATTTTAGTTTATATAATTTATAAGTACAGTTTGAACATACTTTTAAGATTTAAAGCACACTACATATGCACATTCAATCGAATTCATTGGGTTGTCAGTAAAAAAAAAAGTTGTTAAGTTATTACATTTTTTATTAACGAGTATGAAGACTCTCTCTGGAATCAAATATCTTGTATAATGTTCATAGCAATGTAACGTATTTCTGAGTGAAGCAGAACATCAAGCAAGAAATAATGTAGTGTACAGGACTTGATTTTACTTGGTGGGATTTGCTTGGTCGAAATATGTTAGAACATTAGTTAATGATATTCTTAATCCATGCCCACGCTGTCTTGATAACACCTGCAAAATGTTTGAGATTAAAATACCATGAAACCAGAAACAGTTATTAATGAAGTAAATTGAATCAGTATAATGTCACTTATATTCACTTTCAAGTAATAGTGTGAGTAATTAGGAAAATCGAGGTGGGAAATAAAGGCAAGAGAAAGGGTGACGAGAGGAAAGGTGATGAGATCTGACTGTCCCTGACCGACTGGTTTTCAGCGTAGCAGACGCCACAGATCAGCAGGTTGACGAGCTGCGAGCGCAGGATGAGCCCGTGAAAGGTGAGCGGCCGGAACCTCTCCTCCAGGGTCCACTCCTCACTGGGAGACTGGTCCGGGTACAGGTTTGGGTACGGCACGTGTCTGCCAACATCAACCATAGAGAGCAGACACAAAACATCAGCGTGTTAACATATGCTCTAGATTTACAACTAACTGGTCAGTGTGGAGGAAACTTCACTTTTATCTTGATTATTATTAGCTTTATTTGCTTCACTCTACCAAAGAGTGGTCTTTGCTTTTCTAAATGCCGCTAACATGCTTAAAGGAACACTCCACTATTTTTGAAAATAGGCTCATTTTCCAACTCCCCTAGAGTTAAACAGTTGAGTTTTACCATTTTCGAATCCATTCAGCCGATCTCCGGGTCTGGTGGTAGCAATTTTAGCTGTAGCTTAGCATAGATCATTGAATCTGATTAGACCGTTAGCATCATAAATGATCTGTGGGGTATTTTCAGCTGAAACTTCATAGACACATTCTGGGGACACCAGAGACTTATATTACATATTGTAAAAAGGGGCATAATATGTCTCCTTTAACATTTATTTCAAGTAACAAATTTCAGTTTTTATGGTTTTATCTATTATTATAACTTGTGTGTGAATGAGAGTTTAGTTTAGTCTTAGTTCATTTTAACTTTGTGGCAGCCGCTTTCTGTCCGTGTGCACTCAGAAAACGGTATTTCAGAAGTTTAAGCTAATATGGTTTCAAACGCATGATTTAAACATGATAATCAGAACCAAAACAGATGTTTTTTAGCAGGTACGAGCTGTAAAGGCATGCTCTATTCTGAAAGAGGGGGCGGGGAGCAGCAGCTCATTTGCATTTAAAGAGACAGGCCCAAAAAACAGCGTGTTTCTGCTTCCACTCAAAATAGGCATTTTCAAAATGATATAATAAATGATCTTTGGGGTATTTTGAGCTGAAACTTCCCAGACACATTCTGGGGACACCAGAGACCTATATTACATACTGTAAAAAGGGGCATAATAGGTCTCCTTTAAGCAGAATAAACGTATATTTGAATAAATGTATATTTGCAGCAATAGCCAAAAACACACTGAGACAGAATACATTTTAATTATTCAAAACTATCGATTTTTCTTTTATGCCAAAAATCATTAGAATATTAAGTAAATGTTCCATGAAGATATTTTGTACATTTCCTACCGTAAATATATCAAAACTTAATTTAGATTTTTTTTTTGCACCCTCAGATTACAGATTTTCAAATAGTTGTATCTCGGCCAAAAATTGTCCTATTATCCTAACAAACCATACATCAATGGAAAGCTCATTTATTCAGCTTTCAGATTTCAAAAATGTAACCCTTTTGACTGTGGTCCAAATATGGAAATCTCTTAAAGGTAAAGGAGTAAAAAGCCTGTCAAATTCGAAGTGTGTCACTAAGCACTGTTTATGTTGTAAGAAACCTTGAATAAAATTATAAGTGGACTTCCAGGAGCTATAAATGCTACAAAAGTACAGAATGTGGAGTAAATATTCGTGTAACAATATACACTACATACAAATCCATCTTGTGTAATAGCAGACGGTCGGTGCTTTTCAGCAGGAACAGGGTGCTAATAGTCGTGGAGGTCAAAGTTGGTCGACTGACCTCCTCTCCAGCATCTGCTGAAGGATGTCCTGCCCTTCCTCCGCCGGCTCCACTGCGGTCTGCTCATCACACACGTTGCGCAGCTCACTAGACGGGTATGATTTCATGGACTGACACCTCCGCCTCTGCTCCCCCGCACGCGTCAACACGCTGCTTTTCTGAAGGACGGGAAACGTTTTGCAGCATTTATTAATCCTGGTTGATGTTAATTGCTGCATTTGAATACTAATAGGTTAACATTAGTTTATTTTTAAAGTACATTAAACTTTACATTTTAAAGTTAAATGAACATAGTTCATGTATTATAAAACAACAATTAATAAACGGAGGGTTTAATAAATCTATTTGTCATTTAATGTGTGGTTTTAGTCATTTTAAAGACAACATGAAACAGCAAACTGAATATTCACACTAAAATAATGTAGGACTTGATCAACCAATTGGATTTTGAAAGTGGAGAGTGGATTAAACATTATTTTAGAGGTAGAGAAAGTTATTACGCATTAGTAAAAATTTATTATAATTTTTTTTGCACAGTAACTCCAGGGACATTTATTAAGTCCACTTTGAAGTCATACTCAGGGCCACCATTAAAACAGTCAAATCACGCCAATTTCGGAAAAAGGGAGGAACAAGGAAAAACTTTCTAGCAAAGCTCTAATGGTGATTTTGTGCTTTTTCGATCATTGTCATCAAAACTGTAGGCGCACTTTACATCAGGAAATACTGACATAAAACACTGTTATACTGACAACTAGTGCTGTCAAACAATTAATCGCATCCAAAATAAAAGTTTTTATTTACATTGTATATGTGTGTGTGCTGTGTACATTTATTATGCATATGTAAATACACACAAACGCATGTATATATTTAAGAAAAATATGTTACGTTTATATAATGTTCCATGAAGATATTTTGTACATTTCCTACCGTAAATATATCAAAACTTAATTTAGATTTTTTTTTTGCACCCTCAGATTACAGATTTTCAAATAGTTGTATCTCGGCCAAAAATTGTCCTATTATCCTAACAAACCATACATCAATGGAAAGCTCATTTATTCAGCTTTCAGATTTCAAAAATGTAACCCTTTTGACTGTGGTCCAAATATGGAAATCTCTTAAAGGTAAAGGAGTAAAAAGCCTGTCAAATTCGAAGTGTGTCACTAAGCACTGTTTATGTTGTAAGAAACCTTGAATAAAATTATAAGTGGACTTCCAGGAGCTATAAATGCTACAAAAGTACAGAATGTGGAGTAAATATTCGTGTAACAATATACACTACATACAAATCCATCTTGTGTAATAGCAGACGGTCGGTGCTTTTCAGCAGGAACAGGGTGCTAATAGTCGTGGAGGTCAAAGTTGGTCGACTGACCTCCTCTCCAGCATCTGCTGAAGGATGTCCTGCCCTTCCTCCGCCGGCTCCACTGCGGTCTGCTCATCACACACGTTGCGCAGCTCACTAGACGGGTATGATTTCATGGACTGACACCTCCGCCTCTGCTCCCCCGCACGCGTCAACACGCTGCTTTTCTGAAGGACGGGAAACGTTTTGCAGCATTTATTAATCCTGGTTGATGTTAATTGCTGCATTTGAATACTAATAGGTTAACATTAGTTTATTTTTAAAGTACATTAAACTTTACATTTTAAAGTTAAATGAACATAGTTCATGTATTATAAAACAACAATTAATAAACGGAGGGTTTAATAAATCTATTTGTCATTTAATGTGTGGTTTTAGTCATTTTAAAGACAACATGAAACAGCAAACTGAATATTCACACTAAAATAATGTAGGACTTGATCAACCAATTGGATTTTGAAAGTGGAGAGTGGATTAAACATTATTTTAGAGGTAGAGAAAGTTATTACGCATTAGTAAAAATTTATTATAATTTTTTTTGCACAGTAACTCCAGGGACATTTATTAAGTCCACTTTGAAGTCATACTCAGGGCCACCATTAAAACAGTCAAATCACGCCAATTTCGGAAAAAGGGAGGAACAAGGAAAAACTTTCTAGCAAAGCTCTAATGGTGATTTTGTGCTTTTTCGATCATTGTCATCAAAACTGTAGGCGCACTTTACATCAGGAAATACTGACATAAAACACTGTTATACTGACAACTAGTGCTGTCAAACAATTAATCGCATCCAAAATAAAAGTTTTTATTTACATTGTATATGTGTGTGTGCTGTGTACATTTATTATGCATATGTAAATACACACAAACGCATGTATATATTTAAGAAAAATATGTTACGTTTATATATTAAATATACAGTAATATAAAATATAATATAAATGTATATACACATGTAAATATTTCCAAATATATATACTGAATGTGTGTGTATTTATATATACATAATAAATATACACAGCACACACATATATTATGTCAACAAAAACTTTTATTTTGGATGCGATTAATCGTTTGACAGCACTATTGAAAACACAAAAGTAAATAGATACTTTTGATAGATGAACAAAGGATTTGTCTATAGCGAATGTGAAAAGCTGCATTAGTTCAAGTCAAAACAACCACCCTCCAATTTTCTATGATAATCTGATCTCTAATTATGGCTCGGTTCCTTACTTTAGCGTAGTCCTTTTTATCATCCACCACACACACACACACACACACATACACACACACACACACACACAAAACGTTTGATCACTCAGAAGTGATATTACACCCCTCCTTAAAGTATATGATCGGAGTATCAAATAAAGCTAATAAAATAATGTCTGCGCTACCGAGTAATACGTTTAAAAGCAGAAGACCATTTGCACCATCTTGTGGTCAAAACGCTGTAGTTAAATACTGCTACAATACATGTCATGTTGTACCTTAAATCTGATATTGTTGCCTATGAGGATATTGCCCTTCATAAACTCCTTCTCATTGTCTCTGTTCTCGGTGACGACGGGGAAAGCGTGATAGACGGTGGTCCTCAGGATGCTGACCAGAGACTGGATACGGGTGTGAGGATACACATACGTCAGGTTGGGCTCCATGATGTCGCTGGCCGTTAATCTAACAGAGAGAGATCAAGAGAAATTAGTTGTAAAAAAAAAATAAAAGAACTACAGTATCTGGAAACTTAAAAGTATGGATATCACTGCATTAAATATATATTAAAAAAAATTCAAAGAACTCGCATTAGATGACAAATAATGCTATGAAACGGAGACATTTTTAAGTGTAACTTAATATTCAAACACTTCTGGGCCACAAACTGCGGTACATGTATTAAAATGGTCTCACTTGTCCATCTCGACCTCTGTTTCCCACTCCAGCAGTGGGACTCCCTTCAGGTGAATATGAATATCATATATTCCCTTATTAAAGAAATCTCCTGTCCACTTGGCCACCTGACAAAACATGCAGTGCCAGTAAGTAGTGTACATTGAAGTTGTATGTTTTACGTCATTAAATTCTAATTATGCTATATTAGGAGGACATTCATAAAGGATGTAGTCTGATATAATTAAAATTAGTGCTGGGCAACGATTAATCGCATCCAAAATAAAAGTTTTTGTTTACATAATATATGTGTGTACTGTGCATATTTATTATGTATATATAAATGTATACACACTCATACAGTACATATTTAGAAAATATTTACATGTATTTATTTATATTTGTATAACTTAAATATTTAATATAAAAATATAAAAATGTTCTTAAATATATACACATGCATGTGTGTGTATTTATATATACAGGTGCATCTCAATAAATTAGAATGTCGTGGAAAAGTTAATTTATTTCAGTAATTCAACTCAAATTGTGAAACTCGTGTATTAAATAAATTCAATGCACACAGACTGAAGTAGTTTAAGTCTTTGGGTCTTTTAATTGTGATGATTTTGGCTCACATTTCACAAAAACCCACCAATTCACTATCTCAACAAATTAGAATACTTCATAAGACCAATAAAAAATTTTTTTTAGTGAATTGTTGGCCTTCTGGAAAGTATGTTCATTTACTGTACATGTACTCAATACTTGGTAGGGGCTCCTTTTGCTTTAATTACTGCCTCAATTCGGCGTGGCATGGAGGCGATCTGTTTGTGGCACTGCTGAGGTGGTATAGAAGCCCAGGGTTCTTTGACACTGGCCTTCAGCTCATCTGCATTTTTTGGTCTCTTGTTTCTCATTTTCCTCTTGACAATACCCCATAGATTCTCTATGGGGTTCAGGTCTGGTGAGTTTGCTGGCCAGTCGTAGTCATTATTACACAAACATCTAAGATGATGATTTCCCATACAACATAAAAAAACACAACAGGTATCAGAACTTGATTTGTGAATTTGTTTTCCTACCATTAGTGTTATCATAATGGGAAGTCCGTATGTGATCTCATTGGTGGATTCAATTAAGATGACTGTCAGGCTGATGGTCATTCTGACCACACCTCCTAGAAAGGCAGCTGCTCCAATCAAGGCAAAGGTCCCCGAATATATTTGCATGTGGAAGTTACTGCAATTGCACACATGAAAAACAACATAAGTGTAGGATAAGAAATTATGATGCATAAGACACAATAAATATGTGTGTCCTGTTCCAACGGATGCCCTTGGTACTTCTTAAGAGATTGTAAAGAGGAATGAATCTTACATCTTGAGGACATTGGCCACTAGGCGCCCAAGTGAAGCTCCACAGAGAAGAGACGGGACAAACAGACCACTGGGGACGGACACACCGTATGTCCAACAGCTCAGAAAAAAATACAGCACAAAGAACAGCAAGAGCGTGACGGGACTGAAGGTAGCTGTCAACAAAACCAGACAAAGGAGGGAGAAAGAGACAGAAAAAGATTAGAAAATAAAGAGGTATAGTGATATGCACTTCTCAGAAACAATTTCTACTGAGAACAACACCACAGGCATGCTGTTTAATCAAACTTTATTTTCATGACTATGAAAACAAGATAAAGTGATTATTCCATTTTGTCTTGTGTTATAAATCCAGCATGCCCTTTTCCTGTAAAGTACAGTGATTTCAGCCCTTCATAAATGAATAGTTTTCATATTTTCCGACAAATAGTTTTTTTAAATGACGTCGATTTGATATCGATTCTCAAAAGCCGCAAATCGATCTTTTCCAGTATTTACTTCAGCACACATTTAAAATAAGATCTGATTAACGTGAATCTTATCATTAGTCTTCTCCACTAGATGTCACCCTTATTTACCTTGCGCAATGTTACAATAGAAAGCCTGTCATTCATTCAGCGCTTATCATGGCCATACACGCGATTCGCAATGCTCAGGTGAAGTGCTATAGTAATACTATAAACCTGCGGAAGCATTTGATATCACGCATACGGCGTCATGATTTCTGCACTGTTTTGTTTACTACACACATACTAAAGCGCAGATGAAGCTCGCGGTGTTTTCAGCTTCTGCCGTCTCACTATATGATGATATGAACACGAATGTCATCTCCAGCTGCTCTTGAGAGTCACTTCATTAGCATTTTACCGTTTCATTTGAGAAAACTACCGTAATATCCAGTGTTGGGGAAAGTTACTTTTAAAAGTAATGCATTACAATATTGCGTTACTTCATAAAACAGTAACTAATTACATTACTTAGTTACTTTTTATGGAAAGTAACGCGTTACGTTACTTTTGCGTTACTTTTTAAATCCGGACAGGGCTTGCTTGCTTGTTTTTAAAATAAAAAAAGTTATATTTTTGGCAAATATAAAAGCCTTTTCACACCAAAAGTGAAATGAATA